CCCCAAATCCCCCTGCTGAGACCCCCCCCCACCCATCCCATCCTCAGCCTTTATTGTCACCATCCTGTGCCCTTATTGTCACCATCCTGTGCCATAACCTGTGCCCTTATTGTCACCATCCCCTGCCCTTTATTGTCACCGTCCCCTGCCCTTTACTGTCACCACCATCCTGTGCCACAACCTGTGCCCTTATTGTCACCATCCTGTGCCACAACCTGTGCCCTTATTGTCACCTTTCTCTGCCCTTTATTGTCACCATCCTCTGCCACCTTTACTGTCACCATCCTGTGCCACAACCCCAGCCTTTATTGTCACCATCCTGTGCCACAACCTGTGCCCTTATTGTCACCATCCTGTGCCATAACCTGTGCCCTTATTGTCACCATCCCCTGCCCTTTATTGTCACCATCCTCTTCCCTTTATTATCACCATCCTGTGCCACAACCTCAGCCTTTATTGTCACCATCCAGCCGGCGCTGCCTCCATCCCACCCCTCCCTTGGCTCTCCCGGGCAGGGTGACATTTCCCCACCATTTCCCGGCCATTTCCCGGGACTCCCCCTCACATTTCCAGCGGTTTTTGCGCGTGGGCGAAGAACACCCCGTCCACATCATCCACGCCGGTGCGGAGCGCGGGGGGCATCGCGTAACAGCGCAGCTCCCGCAGCGCGAACCCCGCGGCCGCCAGCGCCTCCCGCACATCCGATTCCTGCAGCGGCACCACGGGCAGCCGAGCGGGACCCGCCAGGTAGAAGGACTCGCCCAGAGCCCCCAGCAGCACCGCGTGTCCCCCCGGGCGCAGCAGGGTCCCCACGTGGCTCAGAGCCCGCACGAAGGAGGCGCGGTCGGGGCTCACGGCCTCCAGGCAGAAGGCGGAGAGCAGCGCATCGGCCCGGGGGCGCAGCGGGGCCCCCAGAGGCTCCGGGCGGTGAACGTCGATGGGGAGGATCCGGCGGAGGCGCTGGCGGAGACGGCGCTGCTTGTCCTGCCACGGCTCCCTGGGGAGAGGGGGAATGAGGGAATAAGGGAATAAGGGATGTGGGATGGGGATGGGGGTGTGGGGTGGGGATTGACCCCGAAAAACGCGGGGATGGGGGGGTGGGATCGATCCAGACAGGGATGTGGGGATGGGGTCAATGAAGAACAAACGGGGATGTGGGGGGATCAATGTAGCATCCATGGGGATGGGGTCAATCCAGCTTCCATGGGAATGTGGGGATGGGGTCAATGCAGTGTCCATGGGGATGTGGGGAGGGGATTGACCCAGAAAATGTGGGGATGGGGGGGTGGGATCGATCCAGACAGGGATGTGGGGATGGGGTCAGTCCTACGGGGATGTGGGGATGGGATCATGGGATCAATCCATTATCAATGGGGATATGGTGATGGGGTCAATCCATTATCAGTGGGGATGTGGGGATGGGGTCAATCCAGTGTCCACGGAGATGGGGGGATGAGGTTGATCCAGTGTCTATGGGGATGTGGGGATAGGGTCAATCCAGCATCCATGGGGATAAAGGGATGGGGTCAATCCAGTGTCCACAGGGATGTGGGGATGGGATCAACCCAGTATCAACAGGCATGTGGGGATGGGATCAATCCAGTATCCACGGGATGTGGGAATGGGATCAATTCAGTATCTACAGGGATAAGGGGATGGGATCGATTTGGCACACACAGATCCCTGTAGGGATGGGAAGAACCCAGCACATGGAGGGATGTGGGGATGGGATCAATGCAGCAGACAAAGGGAGGTTAGGATAGAATTCTGCAGGGATATGAGGTGGGATTGTGCAGGGAAGCAGGGATTGGGTGGGCATTGGCCTGGGACACACAGAGAGGTGGGGATGGGATCAATCCAGCACACACAGGGGTGTGGGGACAGGATCCTGCAGGGATGTGGGGTGGGATGCCCATTCCAGAACCCACAGGGACCCAGGGGCAGGATTGCAGCAGGACAAACCCAACACACACAGGGACAAAGGGACAGCATCTCCTGGGCATCAACCCAGCAGCTGCAGGGATGTGGGGAAATGGGATCCAGGAGGGATTGACCCAAGAGCCACAGGGATTTGGGAGCAGGATCAACTGGGCACCCACAAGGACAGGCTCCTGTGGGGATCAACCCTTCACCCACAGGCTCAGAGAGAGGATCCCATGGATATCTGAGGCTGGGATCCTGCAGACACAGGGGGCTGTGAACCCATGGGATTTGGGAGCACCGTCTGTGAGGATGTGGGGCCGTGATGCCACGGGATTTTAGCGACAGGGTCCTATAGGGATCCCCTCAGCATGGGGGTCCTATAGGGATCCCCAGCAGGGTCCTATAGGGATCCCCTCAGCATCTGTGGCAAAACGTGGCTGTGATCCCACAGGATCTACAGGGATCTGTGAGGACCCAGATCTGTGATCCCGTGGATTTTGGGGACACGATCCAGCAGGGACCCCCCCAGCACCCCCTTCCCGTGCCCCCCCGGCCCCCCTACCCGCGCCCCTCGATCTTGCAGACGTGCTGGATGAACGGGCTCCAGTCGAAGGCTCCGGGCTCCCCCCGCGCCCACCGGCCGAGCTCCTCCCGGTTCACCGCCAGGAAATCGGTGGCCACGATCTCCTCGAAGTGGTCGCAGGCACTCAGCAGTTGGTAGATGGTGGGGCCCGAGCCCACATCGATCAACGTCCGCCCTCGGATCTCACCTGGGAGGGGACAGGACATGTCTGGGAAGGACCGCCACAACAACCGGGAAAACCAGACAGGAGCAGAGGATGCTCCGTGCCTCAGTTTCCCCGCCTCACTGAGGGTCCCCGGGAAAACCAGGCAGGAGAAGAGGATGCTCCGTGCCTCAGTTTCCCCGCCACGCTGAGGGTCCCCAGGAAAACCAGGCAGGAGCAGAGGAGCTGCCCCTGCGTGCTCCGTGCCTCAGTTTCCCCGCCCCGCCGCCTTCCTCTCTCACCGCTGGCGAAGGTCTCGGCCAGGCATCGCAGCTTCCAGGGCACCACGAACTCCTCGGAGGAGAAGTCGGCTCGGGGGGGGAGGTAATTGTTGCGCAGGTACGCGCGGGGGTCGAAGTGCTCGTAGCCCTCTCGGAGCGCGGCCGGGCTGCTCATGGCGAGGGGCTGCGGCTCCGGCCCCGCCGCCGCCGCTTTTTATCCTTGCCCGGCCCGGGAGGGGCCACGAGGAGCCGAGCCAGCCCCATCCATCCACCCTGCATCCCTCCACCCATCCATCATCCACCCTGCATCCCTCCATCCGTCATCCAGCCCTCCTAACCCGGTTAGCGCCAGTGCCCCCGGGCCGCGGCCGGAGCCGATAACGGAGCTGATAACGGATCCGCCGCTCTTCCCGGGCTCTGGGAATCCAGGAATGCTGTCCCTGCGCCGGGGAGAGTCTGTCCCCACAGCCCGAGATGTGGCTGTGACCCCCCTGTGCTGCCCCAGCTCGTGGGGGTCCCGTGGGATGAGGATGGAGAGGGATTGGGATGAAGATGGAGGGGAATTGGGATAAGGATGAGGATGAAGAGGGTGGGAAAGGAGTGAGGATGGATAGGGATGAGGATGGAGGGGAATTGGGATAGGGATGAAGATGAAGAGGGTGGAAGAGGGGTGAGGATGAAGAGGGTGGGATAGGGATGAGGATGGAGGGGGATTGGGAGAGGGACAAAAATGAGATGGGGATAGGAGGGAACAGGAATGGTGTGAAATGGGGGTGGGAAAGGACTGGAATGGGATGGGGATGGAAAAATGTGGAGGGATTCGGGTGGATTGGGATGGGGAGGGGAATGGGAAGGGATTAGAATGAGGAGGGAATTGGGATTGGGATTGGGATGGGGATGGAAAGGCATTGGAATGATGTGGGGTTTGGGATGGGGATGGGAAGGGATTGGGATGGGGCCCATCTGAGCTCTCCATCGCCCGTGCTGGACCCAGCCCAGCTCTGGCAGGAGCCGGTGCCACCTCTGCCAGCTCCCAGTGCTCCCAGCGCTCCCAGTGCTCCCAGAGCTCCCAGAGCTCCCAGAGCTCCCAGTGCTCCCAGTGCTCCCAGTGCTCCCAGTGCTCCCAGCGCTCCCAGTGCTCCCAGTGCTCCCAGCGCTCCCAGAGCTCCCAGTGCTCCCAGTGCTCCCAGGGCTCCCAGTGCTCCCAGTGCTCCCAGGGCTCCCAGCGCTCCCAGCACCCCGGGCTAACGAGCAGGGTGGTTCCCACATTTGGGGCTGGGGGCGTTGTAAGACCCCAAACCCTTCCCGTGCCCGATCTGCGGGGGTGAGGGTGCAGGGCCAGGAGGGAGGAAGGAGCGGGACGGGGTCGGGGGAGGGGACAGGGAGGGGACAGGGCCTGGCGGGGGCCCAGGGACAGCGGGATCCGGACTGGGAACAGCTAATCTGGGCACTGCAGAACCTGGCACCGGGTGGGCGATGGGGGGGGGGGGGGGGGGGGGGGTTATATAACCACAGCCCCCCCCACCCAGACCCCCCCAGTCCCATAAGACACCGGGTCCTTCCCGCTGCCGTGCCTCAGTTTCCCCGTGTGCCCCACACACGGCTCCTCTCCCCCCTAAATCTTGCCCCCCACCCTTGTACCCCCCCAGAAAAGACTCTGCCGTGCCAAGGTAGAGTTTTTGTGGGTTCTTTGTGCGGTTTTATTGCCGTACAAAGAGCGCGGTTTGTACAACCCCCCCTCCCCATTCCAGCCCCCCCAGGCTTTCAGCGATCCTCATCCTCCTCCTCCTCTCATTCCCTTCTTCTCGCCAGGGAAACTGAGTCACGCCGGAGCTGCCGGGAGCCCCCCGAAGGGCGGGAGCCCCCGACCCGCGGGGTCCTCATCCCCACCGGCCTCCACCGCGCCCGCAGCGGGGCGGGGTCCCGAGCGATGGGAGCCCACCCCCACCTGCCCCTTCCTTCTCCTGCTGCCTTTTCGGGGGGCGGCTGAGCTGACCCAGAGGGTCCCCCCAGCCCCCCCCAACATCACCCTCCTGCCCCCCCCCCCCGCACCCCGACCTCCCCCGGCAACTCAGCCCCGCTGGGCTTCGTGCGAGAGGGAGCGGGAGAGGGTGCGGGGAACGCCGCCCTTGGCGCCGCGCAGGTCTGAGGGGGCAAAGAGGGGCACGGGGAAGGTGCGGGCGTAGGGCAGGAGGTGCTGGGTCAGGGGCTGCCCCAGGACCCCCACCCTGAGCAGCCCCCAGGGCGAGCGCTGCTCCAGCACCCGCACGGCCCCGCGCTGCTCCAGCGACTCCCGGCGCTGCGTGTCCGCCTCCCGCCGGCACCACCTGGGCACGGACAGAGCCTCACTGGGTCAGGGTCCTCAGGGTCCTGCTCTGAGCCCTCGGGGTCACCGCGCCCCGACAGGACCCCTGGAGACCCCCGTGTGCCGCCCCACTCTATGGGAGAATCCCCCATGTCCCAGCTCAGCCCCATAGGAACACCTGGAGACCCCCACGGGAACACCTGGAGACCCCCCGTGTGCCACCCCACTCTATGGGAGAACCCCCCCATGTCCCAGCTCAGCCCCACGGGAACCCCTGGAGACCCCCACGAGAACACCTGGAGACCCCCATAGGAACACCTGGAGACCCCCACGGGAACACCTGGAGACCCCCGTGTGCCACCCCACTCCATGGAAGAATCCCCCATGTCCCATATCCCAGCTCAGCCCCATAGGAACACCTGGAGACCCCCATGGGAACCCCCAGAGACCCCCATAGGAACCCCTGGAGACCCCCATGTTCTTCTGGCCCCTTGTGGAATCCCGGCCTCCCCCCCAGTCCCTCTTGGGTACCCCCCCCCACCTCCCCCCGGAGCTTCCCTGACCCCACAGGGACCCTCAGAAACCCCCAAACCCCCTGGGAACCTCCTAATTTGGGACACAAGACCCCATGGGAACTCTTGGGCTGCTCGAAACCCCATTGGAGTCTCCTACACCCCCAAACCCCCATGGAAACCCCCAGTTTTGGAACCCACAAACCCATGGAAACTCCGTATTTTGGGAGCCCCTCAAAACCCTATGGAGACCCCACATTTTGAGCCACTTGGAGCCCACCAAAACCCCATGGAAACCCCACATTTCAGAACCCCACAACCCAAATGTTCACAAAAAAAAACCCCAAATCCTCCAGCACCCGGTGCCCCCTGTGCCCCCAGCACCCCCTGGCACCCCCTGGGACCATTGGGGCCGCCCAAACCCCCATATTTTGGGACTCTCGGAGCCCCTCGAGACCCCACAATTTTGGAACCACCCCACAAACCCATGGAAACCCCACATTTCAGAATCGCACAACCCAAATCTTCATAAAAAACCCCCCAAATCCTCCAGCACCCGATGCCCCCCATAACCCTGGCACCCCCTGGGACCCCCTGACACCCCCTAGGACACTTGGGCTACCCAAAACCCCATATTTTGGGACCCTTGGAGCCCCTCAAACCCCTCTGGAGGCCCCACAATTTTGGAAGCACCCTACAACCCCATGGAAAAACCCCACGCTCCAGAACCCCACAACCCAAATCCCCACAACAGAACCCCCCAAACCCTCCAGCACCCGATGCCCCCCATACCCCTGGCACCCCCTGGCCGTGCCCCTCACCCCTCCTCGGGTCGGGAGCTGAGCTCCAGGTCCAGCCACTCGGCACTGAAGGTTTCCCTCCTGCCCACGTCCTCCTCCTGCAGGCGGCAGCCCAGGCGGGCCGAGAGCGGCGCCCTGGATCCCTCAAGGCCCACCATGGCTCCTTTTCCCCCCTCCCCCTGTGCCCCTTCTGCTTTTATGGCCCCGCCGGGGCTATTTTGGGAGGCACCGAGCGCTGCCAAGGAGGGGGGGTGGCACTTCGGACACGTGTGTGGCACCCACGGGGGTGTCCCCTCCCCTTCCCGCATTGGGGACGCGGGGCAGACCCTGCCAGCAACGTGATGGCACCAGCAGGACCCGCCCTGGCACCTGCCCAGGGCACGGCTGGCCTTTCCCTGTCCCCTCTGTGCCACCCACAGCGGCCACAGCGCCCAGCTCAGAGGGACATTGGGGTCCCCTTCGCAGGGACATTGGGGTCCCCTTCACAGGGACACTGGGGTCCCCTTCGCAGGGACATTGGGGTCCCCTTCACAGGGACATTGGGGTCCCCTTCACAGGGACACTGGGGTCCCCTTCGCAGGGACACTGGGGTCCCCCTCAGAGGGGACATTGGGGTCCCCTTTGCAGGGACATTGGGGTCCCCTTCAGAGGGGACATTGGGGACAGCCCAGGACAGGGGTTTGGGGCTGTAGGGACTCCCAAATGGGCGTTTGTAGGGCCAGCAGTCGGGTGGCAGTGACCCATGGAGGTGGCTGGTGACACAGAGAGGACAGGGCTGGTGACACCGAGAGGATGTGAGGATGGTGACACAGAGGGGACAGGGCTGGTGACACACAGAGGATGTGACGATGGTGACACAGAGAGGACAGGGCTGGTGACAGCCCCCAGAGCTGCCCCCAAGTGTGGGGGTCCCACCCCAGGGGATGAACGCCGGGCTGGAGGGACACTGGGGACAGACAGACAGACAGACAGAGATGCTCCAGGTGGATGGAGCTGCTGGTGCCACCATGGCTTGGGGACAGTGCCACCCACAGCCAGCGCCCCAAGGAGCCTGGACCCCCCCACCTTTAGCACTGGGGGGGTCTTCAGGGTGACCCCAGCCCCACATCTGCCCCCACCCTCCATTCAGTGTCTGACACAGCCACACAGGAAACACAAACCTGCAAACAGTGCAAGGCTTTAATTCATCCCCCACAAATTTGGGGGGGGGGTCGGGGGGTCTGGACCCCCCCAGACCCTCAGGGGGGTGCAGAGAGCCCTGGGGGGGGGCTGTGGGTGCCCCCCTCCCCAGCACAGCCCCCACACTGCTGCTGCTGCTGCTGCTGCTGTTTTTAGAGCAGCACACGGAGCTCACACGGAGCTCGCAGGTAGAGGAGGAGCTGCAGCCACCCCCGCACCCCCCCACGCACCCCCACCCCCAACACCCCCCCCTGCACCCCCAAAAAGGAGCAAAGTCTCTGCTTAAGGCAAATCCCGCGCTGGCTCCGCCCGGAGCTGCAGCTTTGGGAAGGAAGGAGGGGGCTCAGCCAGAGCCAAGGGGAGATTTGGGGGGTCCCCAGTGGTGGCACCGGGGTGAGGGGGGGGTCACAAATTGTGCCTTGACCCGGTGAGCCTGGCACAGGGCTCAGCTGTGACACGGCCACCACCTCTGTCCCCTCTTCCTTACGGAACTGGGGAGCAGTGACAGCAAACAGGGGGTGCCAGTGACACCAATCTGGGGGTGCCAGTGACACCAACCTGGGGGTGCCAGTGACAGCAAACGGGGGGTGCCAGTGACAGCAAACGGGGGCTGCCATTGACACCAATCTGGGGGTGCCAGTGACAGCAATCTGGGGGTGCCAGTGACACCAACCTGGGGCTGCCATTGACACCAATCTGGGGGTGCCATTGACACCAACCTGGGGTGCCAGTGACACCAATCTGGGGGTGCCAGTGACAGCAATCTGGGGGTGCCAGTGACACCAACCTGGGGCTGCCATTGACACCAATCTGGGGGTGCCATTGACACCAACCTGGGGCTGCCATTGACACCAATCTGGGGGTGCCATTGACACCAATCTGGGGGTGCCAGTGACACCAACCTGGGGCTGCCATTGACACCAATCTGGGGGTGCCAGTGACACCAACCTGGGGGTGCCAGCTGAGCCCCCAACCTGTTTTTGGGGAGGGGGGGGCCCTGCCCAGCCCCCAGGGCAGGGATTTGGCACAGAACAGTCAGGTCCAGGCCCCCCTGAGCATCGGGGGGGAACCGAGGTGGGAGGAGAGGTTGAGTCTCCCTGGCTGGTAGTAGGGGGACCCCTCCTCGCCTGGGGGGGTGCAGGGTCCTGTCCCCATGGCCAGAGAGCAGAGAAGGTTCCGGAAGGTCCTCAGGGCTTGGGGCAGAGCTCGGCACAGAGAGCAGAGAAGGTTCTGGAAGGTCCTCAGGGCTTGGGGCAGAGCTCGGCCACGCGCTGGCGCAGGTGGAAGGCGAACTCGAACATGGTGGCAGCCAGGCTCTGGTGGATCAGGTACCTGGGCAGGCGACCCTGGGGACACAGGACAGGGACACAGGGACCTGAGGGACCATTTGGAGCTGGGGATTGTCCCCGTCTCACCCTAGGGGGCTGCAGGGACACAGAGCCATGAATGAGGGCTGGGGGTTGGTCCCATCCCGCTCCAGGGTGTTCCAGGATTTGGGGCTGGGGGCTTCAGGGGCAGAGGTGAGGGCTGGGCTGGGGGATGTCCCCTGTCCCATCCTGGGGGGTTCCAGGGATGGGGACATAAGGCCATGAGCAAGGGCTGGGCTGGGGGCTCTGCCCTGTCCCATTCTATTCCATCCCATCCTGTTCCAGGGATGCAGGAGCCACGAATGAGGGCTGGGCTCTATCCCCCACTAAACTCCATCCCACCCCACCCCATCCCACCCTGTCCCACCCCAGAGGGATCCAGGGATGCAGGAGCCACAAATGAGGCGTGGGACTGGGCTCTGCCCCCATCCCATCCCTTCCCACCCCATCCTGTCCCATCCCATCTCATTCCAGGGATGCAGGAAGCCACGAATGAGGGTCGGGGCTGGGCTCTGCCCCCATCCCACCCCATCCCTTCCCACCCCAGAGGCCCCAGGGCTGCAGGAGCACCGCTGGGCGGAGCTGCGGCTCCCGGGGAGCTCCGATCCGCTCCGATCCGGGGGAGGAACCGCAACGTGCTTGGATTCCTCTAAAAAAGCCCGGCACGACTCACCCCCCCCCCCCCACCGCCTCGGCCTCGGCTCCGAGGTGGGAGATCCACGAAAAAAAATAAAATAATAATCCTTGGCTCTGGGGGGGAGGGAGCTGAGGCAGGGCTGGGAACTGGCACGGAGGGACGAGTGGAGAACGATCCAGAGGGTCGGGCAGGCACAGGACACTCCCCTGCCCTGGGATTGCGGTGGTGCAGCACAGATCTTTTCCTGGAGGGGGGTTTTCCCTCTGGAGGGGGGGTTTTCCCTCGGATCAGGGGCAGGAAAAGTGCGAGGCCGCTGTCCCAGGGGCCGTTTCACACCCACAAACACACGGGCGGGATGCTCCCTGCCCCGAGGAGCAGGCAGGGATGAGCCACGGGCTATAAATACTCGGCCAGGGCCAAAGGGAAGAGCCGGGAGCTGCCGAGGGGTCCGGGCTGGGCTGGCAGAGCCCCTGGGGAAGGCGCTGGGAGCACTTGGGGGTTATTAATAGCTCGGCATTCCTTCCACGGCGGGGGCGGCGCCGGCACAAGCACAAGGACAAGGAACCTCTTTTCTTGCCGAGCCCCACCACGGGGGGGTTGTTATCCATCCCCCCCTGCCCCAAAACCGTGATGGGCACGGGATCCACGGGAGGAAAACACATCCCCGGGGGGAGGAAAACATCCCCGGGGGAAGGAAAACATCCCTGGGCACAACAGGGTGGGCAGGATCCGCTCCATCCTGCTCTGGGCCCTTCCCAAACCTTTTCCCGAAGCGTTTGGCTGGGCTCAGGGGGAGGGGAAGGGGCCGTGGGAGGGGAGGGGAGGAGAGAGGAGGGGGCAGCAGCGCTGCAGCACAGCCGAGGGATGAATGAATGGAGCCTTTGTGCTGCTGCTGCTGCTGCGGCAGCGCCGTTACCACGCCAACCCTCGGCGGAGGAAGGAACGGGGCCAGCTCCGCTCCCGCTCCCGCATCCGCCCCGTCCCGGTCCCTCCGTGCTCTGCCGGGACACCGGCAAGGACAGGCAGCTCCACAAACAGCTCCGGAGCTGGGGCAGCTCCTTCCTCCCCCGGGGAGGGGGGATTTGGGGCGGTTGTGGTCGTGCCAGGGGGTTATGGAGCCACTCCAAAGTGTTCTCGGCACAAAAGTTGCTCCAAAGTGGGTTTGGTCAGCAAGGAGGATTAAAAACTCCTCTCACCCAGTCAGAAGTGACACCCCTAAGTGAGACCTGAAATAAGGAAGAGCTTCCCAAACTCCCACTGGGAAAGGAGGGGGATTTTGGAGGAGTTTAACCCCCCCCACTTGCCAAACCTGAGTCCCTTCAGGGCAGTGCTTGCTAAGGGGGCACTTGTGTGGCTGCTGGGATGCTGGAGCAGGGCCTTGGGCTGTGCTGGGGATGGGACTCAGCTGCCTCACCCAGGAATTGCCTTTTACCTTCAGATCTGTGTTGAGGATCCAGATGAAGGTGCAGACCTTGGCGTTGCTGGGACATTTCAGCACGATGAATCCTCCAGGTCCATTCTCACCCCTGTGCAGGAAAAGCCAAGAGGGTCAGGCTGGAATTCTGGCTGGGATTCTCTGTGGATGCACCACATGGAGCTGAGCCTGGCAGCAAAATCCAGAGCCCAGTGGGGCAGGAGCAGATGCTGGGAGCCTGGGAAGGTGTGTGCCTTGGCTCCAGGTGCACGAGCCAGCACGGCAGGGCAGCTTTCCCACAGGTGCCTTGGCAGTGCCAGTGCCAGGGCTGCTGGTGGAGCAGCAGCTCTGCCTCTGCACTGTGCCAGCTGTTCCTCATGGGAAGCTTTCCCAGGCACAACCCTGGGAGCAAACAAGAGGTCCCAAGAAGCTCTGCGTGCTCAGGACAGGCTCAGCACTTATCACTCCAGCCCCCAGATCCTTCTCAGCACCATCTGATCTGTCTCTGAGACGGGAGCTGTGCACACACAGCCCAAATACAGATTTCCCTTCCCTCTTCAG